CAACTTCTATTCAACGAAAGGAGACTGCGACCACACAAAAGGCCACACCATCTTGGTCTTTATACCTTCAGTCAATCTCTGTTTTAAATTTTGATTTTGCCCAAGACTGTACGTTTTTGTCAATCGAACTAGTGCTTTCAGCAGTAAAAGGATCACACAGCACTCTAGATCAAAGAATTGCTTGCTCTATTGATAGCTCAAAACACTTAGTTACTGCATTTCTCACTCGTTCAGAGATTAATCTGATTTTTCCTTTCACACTATGGTTGGATTTTAGTTGGACATTTCGTTGGTTTTATGCAACAATGCCACTAAAGCCATTTAATTATACTAAAAATTGTATAATGATCCCTACAGTTTCCTCTTTTGAAAATCTGGAAATTACGGGTATTGTTAACCTATATAACACAGATCTCCATCAGTCTTTCATTACATTTAACGCAAATACGCAGGGATTCGTTTTATAAGTAGTTCCCAGTCCCCTTAGCACCTTTGACTAAATAGGGTGAATACAACTCATATATGCAGAGATTCGCCTTTTTGGAAACTTGATAATCAATCAATATATTAGTATCCAAAAATTATTAATATTACCCATTTTTGAGAGTTTAGGTCTATCTCTGGACTTTGTGGGTTGACTGTACAATGATATGATCAGCTTAAGATTTATGAATGCATATTTTAGCATCTGGGTTTTCTATGGGACTGTTGAATTATCCAAATAACGATAAATTATTTAAATATTCCCTATATTTACTTTTAGCTTTGTTCGGAAGATGATCTCCGTGTACATTGCTCTTGCCTTTCTGGCTACCGACAGCCGAGCAACGCGTTGCGCAAATGTCTTGCTATCGGTGATTTATATCTGGCTTTTATCAACAATGGTCATTTATTTCAAATAAATTTGCGTCATCTTGATGGACTGCGACGCCTGGATTTTTTCGAGCCCGATGTGCTGACTACTATTAAGAATTGCACAGACGATGTGTCTTGTTTGCAGCACAGGCCTAAAGTAGGCGTTTTTTCTGCTTTCTATATATATATATATATTCATATATAATATTCATGTACGATATATCATTCAATTTATAACAGCTAGCTATTACAATAGGTACAAAATATTCGTTATTTAATCATATATATGATTATATTGTTATCTATGATTGAAATAAAATGGCAAAGCCCAAAAG